AAAAGAACGTTGATTTTTACCAATCATGAGTTTGTGTAAATTTTAAATCTGATGATGGCGCTGTTGTCTCGCCGAAACGTAATGAAATCAACGATATTCAAATTTTCACTTCACACTTTGACTGAGACCCAGGAATACTACGGGGGATTTACGACAATAAAATGATGAAAAAGGACAGTTTTGGACATTTGGATGATTTTAAGGCAGCAATCGCCAGTCGAGTTCGGGCCGATTTATCAATAACCAGAAGAACTACGCCTACCGGTCAGTTCAATCGGCATCAAATCCAATTAAGAGGAAAAGTTGAGAACGGTGGGAAATTCGCCATTTCTGGTTGGAGAGAAATAACGTGCACCCCTAGCGGCCATTTATCTACTTCTCCCACTCCATACTACACTTTTAATTAACAGAGCTAAATCGCTTAATGCGTCCCCAGACATTACTTTAATCTGGTGCTAATTATAACATCCCCTCCTATGTGTTCCCTTGATGTGCTGCCTGCTCCTCTATTCCCGTTAACTGCAGTCATTATATCCCAGCGAATGCTGCAAATTACCCGCCTTAATCCCGGAATTTGCCCCGGGAATAAGCGAATTCCCATCCCAGTTTTTCAGCCTTTCAACTTTAATTCACTCAATTCATCCGCAGAAATGAAGACCCAAAGACCTGAACTAATGACTGTGCCGAAAAAACGAATTATAAGTCATCGCCCTGTAGATTGTAGACGATAGTTTTCCGTCGGCAAAAATGTGTACAAACTACTCCGTTTTGAATTTATCTGGCATTCTTTTCGCCGTTTCGACATTCACAAACCGATAGGAAGCGGCTCGCCCGACCCTCGCACCCAACTCATACATAAAAACATGATATCTAATCAGCTGTTAAGTTAAGCGAAAACACTTCTTTTGGGAGAAACCTTTTAGCGAATTGCATGCTTCTGGGATCAGATCGGCGAATCAACAATCGATTGAAAAATTGAGAATTTGCCCGCATGGATTTGTACGGGATGAGGCAAGAATGGCGTCTCGGAGGCTGTTTTGGGAGTCATCCAGCATTTGAAATTTACCGAGAACCTGAAAAAATTTGCTGCTGATGGGATGATTTACGATCGGCGCAGTTAAAGAGCCGAGTTTTGCTCAAAAACATGCGCAATTCGGAAACGGATTCAAAAATCCAAGTGTTTACAAAGGGTTTGCAAGATATTGATGCAAAAACCAAAAAAATGATTAAAATTGGTCGTTTCTTTCCGATACCGAAATTGCGCATTTCTGCAGAGTGTTCGCAAGAGCTCAGGGCCGATTTTGGGTCTATTTAAACAGAGAGTGAATTTTATCGGGAAAATAAAACACCCAAAACTTAAGCGGATTTTCAATTAAACCTGAATCCTTTACAGATTATCTACAACTTTATTTTGATTGATTTTCCTGACTGTGCGGCGTGTAACTGTGATTATATTCTTATCCTTCCTGGGTCTCAGTCAAAGTGTGAAGTAAAAATTAGATTATTGTCTATTTAATCACGTTTCGGCGAGACAACCGCACCATCATCAGATTTAAAATTTACACAAACTCATGATTGGTAAAAGTCAACGTTCTTTTAGGTCTTTGCCTTCTTGAAACCTTAAATTTGTCTCTC